ATTTTCATACTAGAACTGACTCTGAAGCCAAGACTAACTTTCCATGGTCACCCCAGGTCAAATAAGATTAAGTTCTTATGATGTGTGCTGTCACCCAAAAGCTGATCCAAAACTAACCTCCAATGATGGATAGACAAGGATAATCTTTCCAGTATACTTACCCTAACACATTTTACCAAGTTAATGAAAAGTTATAACTTGCTGTCTTTACAACATTCCTTTACTTATTTGTAAATGCCAGGCACCTCACTGACATAATCAGTTACAACTTGTCTCTTAAATATATTGCACTATACTTTCACATACAGAAATGCCTGAATGAATAAGTGTGGTTTGTGCCCCATCGGGTGGCCACATTGAAAATTTCAAACAAGTTCCAGCAAAGCAAGTTAACCCTATCTAATCAACCTAATACCACTGGGAAATTGAAGGCTAAAACACAAGTATTCTCTTGGGAGATCTCTGTACACGAAAATCACAATGTTACAACAACGTTTCATTATACTTGAAAATAAGAGAAGTATAATTTATTCAGAAGCTCTCTTTTCCCAAATCCTGCAGCAAAAAATTAATCCAAATCCATCGCTTTGTATTTAAGTTAAATAAAAGAGTTTTTCATTTGGTCAGCTTTCTATTAACAAATAAATGTATCAAAAATTCTTGAAGAAATATTCATTTAAAAAGATGCTATTAATGGTAGTCCTTTAAATTTTGTCTTCATATATAGCAACCAAATAAACTCCTAAAAAGCACATTTACAGGTGTGTCCTAGGATAACATGGAGTTTAGAGCCATCAAGTCCAATTCTCTAACAATAAAGATAAAGAAACTTAAAACCCAATAAGAAGTGATTTCATCAGGGTCACACAGTGTGTCCTAACTCTATGCTTACACATCCACGACTCAAGAGACTAGCCATATATATATATATATATACACAGAGACAGCCACATATAAATCCTAAACAAGTGGCTTAGCCTCTCTGGACCGTCCTTTCCTTGCCCAGAAAAAGGTATGTAATCATCAAATTTTCTTTCAGCCATAAAATCCTGTAATTTAGAGACCTCGTTATTTATTATCTAATGCTCTGCTTCAGTATCTTACAAAACTACTGTATAGGCTAAAAAAAATTATTCCTGGCTCCTGAGAAACACAAGACCCTAAGGAAGAAAACACAGGTCAGCAGATTAAGGCACCAAATACATTTGCTTCTTTCACTGATATTCAGTAAAATATTAACATAGCATACTAGTTTATTTGGTTTAAAGTGGTCTAAGTTAATTTTGATTAATCAATTACAGAGCTCTACAATATACAATCACTGATTCTAAATTGTGTTTATTGACATTCCATTTATATATATATATATATGCACCAAGATTTACATTCAAATAGATTACTGGAAGCAGGAATACTCTCTGCTTATTTGTATTCTTTGTATAAACAACTCACAAAGGGATCAAATAGATCTTCTTACACGGTTTCTCCATGTTGCTCTATTCTTCTATATTTTTTATTGTGTCTATGAAGACTGATCTCCACAACTATTTTTTTCTTATTATAAGAGGGTGCATGCACTCACTGGAGAGAAAAAGGGGGAACCCTCCAAGTGGCATGATTACACTGCAATCCTCTTTCCTCCATTCCTTCTTCCTGTCAGGAATGAACAGGCATATGTGCTGTGAGCATTTCAAGCCACTCAGGTCAGAATTCCAACCACAACTGGCCATGTGAAATCTGGCTCACCATGCACAGCACTTAACCAACTGTGCCCTGGGGCCAGGTCTTCCCAACTTATTTTTAAAGTAAAAACTTAGTAATTTTCAGGATATTGATGGGTTGCTAGCATTAATTAATTGCAACAACCCAAGGAATAAAAACCACTAAATATTAAACTAAAAACTTATTCACTTGGTCTAGCCATGATAGCACACACCAGACACTGCTTAGCAGGCTGAAGTCAGTCACACCGGAGGCCCAGGTTCAATTCCTAACCCATCCTAACAGCTCAGAGCAGTGGCACAGACATGCAGTCCCAGCTACTTGGAGGCTAAGGCAGAAAGATTAAGACATAGTGAGATCCAGTCTTAAAAACACACACAAACATATGTACACACAAACACACACACACACACACTTAGGAACTAGAATGGACCTTAAAAAGCTCTGGCCTGGGGCCAGCAGGTGGTGGTGGTGGTTGAGGTACTAGACTACCACATGGCAGATCACAGTTTGAGTCCCAGACTGGCGGCTTGCTTTCTCACTTTTTCTGTCTCTCTCCCTCTCTGGTGAGTGCAGATGCCCTATAGCAAATTTTAAAATAATAATAACAAGTAAAATTAAATAAATAATTGTTTTAAAATAGCTCAGGTCCTATATTCTTATTTTACAGAAGAGGAAAGCATCCTGAGAAGGCAAAAAGACTGTCCCCAGGGTATCATGACTAACATATATAAGACCCAGCACTTACAACATGTCATTGTATATATGTATTGCATATAATTAAATATTACATGTAATTATAGACATAAAACAAACATTTTACCTTCTATCTAATGCTCTGCTTATTTCAAGTAATATTTAATATACCAAAAAACATAAAAACCAAATAAGCTGAATAGTTCACACTGGTTCATAGCATAGGAAAGCAACCTAGGCTGGAAATGAGGGCAAAAACACTACTTGCTTGAAAAACAAATCCAAGCATCTGTTCTACTAAGTGTTTTAAGAGTGTCATCTTCATGTAAAAGATATGAATGCACTATGAGGTCCTTTGCTCTGGTAAAGACGGACAGATCTTTTATGAAAGTCCTTTTTCCCCAAAGTTTTTAAGCTGCTAAAATCTCTGGACTCTAAAGATTCTTACTTATATTTCTTACCCATTTTTAAAGGAATAACACCAACTCTAAAGAAATAATACACAACACAAAGACCAAAAAACATAAAAACCAAATAAGCTGAATAGTTCACACTGGTTCATAGCATAGGAAAGCAACCTAGGGCTGGAAATGAGGGCAAAAACACTACTTGCTTGAAAAACAAATCCAAGCATCTGTTCTACTAAGTGTTTTAAGAGTGTCATCTTCATGTAAAAGATATGAATGCACTATGAGGTCCTTTGCTCTGGTAAAGACGGACAGATCTTTTATGAAAGTCCTTTTTCCCCAAAGTTTTTAAGCTGCTAAAATCTCTGGACTCTAAAGATTCTTACTTATATTTCTTACCCATTTTTAAAGGAATAACACCAACTCTAAAGAAATAATACACAACACAAAGATTCCAACACTACAAAAATTTCTTTAATGTTCCAACTTACAAAGAAAAGTGTCCCATATTTCATGTTGCCTACCAAACCATGAGTGTATGCAGATCAGGAGTCTCATAATAAGGATTGCAGAATCAAATTTCAATTATCCACAATACATGAGTTTTTCAAAAAAATAAATGTATGATTGGCCTAAAGAAGAAACTAAAGTCACACATACACTAACAAATGTTGTCCCTCTGACCAACCATTTAGAAACAGTAACCAAATGGACGTTGTGAATGGGGATTCCCAGAAATCACTGTTACTCTAGCCAAAAAGCTGACATTACAAATCAAGAGGTAATCGCATTTTCAAACTAAATCTTAGGCTTCCCTTTCCAGTCCCAGATACTCCAAATTAATACAATTCTATGAAACAGTTAAGTGTTGAAATGCTTAAGATGAATCACAGTGCACATCCAGCTACTATTCTTTCTGCCCAAATCAGGTATCCCACACTACATAACAAGCATAGGATGTGCTTCAGCTTGCTTGTGTCCTCTGCCTCTATGAAGAACTAGCAGTGGTGCTGAAAATTACTATGAGAAAAATGAAAGAGCAATACTCTTTTCTTTCAATAAAAACCATAATCTGGACTCTAGCCAAGGTCTTAAAACTGACCAAATGTTATTAGAAACAATAAATCAACAACTCTACAGGCTGAAAAATTAGTCCCTTATTTCATTCTTACAAAATGTGGCCAGAAAATACTATAAGAAAATTAAGTGGCAAGAAAACACTAATAATTCTAGGCCTTTTGTTTCTGATAATAATCAAATATGGTATGTCACAAGTTAATTAGTTTTATAGTCTTCAAGATTCTGTTTAACCTATCTACATCCCTTCCCCACTGTTCATTTATGACAATGGCTATATGAAAAAAATGAATTCACTGCTATTGCCTAAACATCCTATCACTAAACATATAAAAATTAAATAGAGAAGTAAAATAGTTGAAAACATAAAATCTAGCTAGCATATATGTGTTCATATTGATTTTACAGTCTTTGTTCCTGCACATAACATAGATGTGAATTCCTGGAGGTAACAGATTAAGTCTCTTTCTCTATCCAGGAGCTGGACAAAATAACCTATTACAATACTTAAAACCATTTAGGTATCTTACTTTATAAACATATAAATGGGCTCATTATCTTCACTTTCCCCGGTATTAAATGTGAGATTCCTTATCACTATCTTTCAAACACCCTACAAAGCTGTTTACACAGAAACTGGGAGGGAGGAGGGAGCATGATTTCTGTAATACACAGGTAAGGTACATTGTTTACACTATAGTAATTTGCTCCCTAGCTGACAAAAACTTAGCAGAAAACCTGAACATTTCAATAATGCTCTTCCCTCCTTCCTCTTCTCTGCTTTCCAAAACAACAGAAAGAGCCAAAACCGAAGACTCCAATACTCTTGTACACTTCATGCAATCAAGTAAAAAGACAAGTCACTGATCAAAACAGAAAAGGTGAATGAATACAATACGTTTGCAAACTACCGATCTAACCACTGCTTACGTGATACAGATCGAAGTCAAGTTTCAACCCTTGTTAGAACGGCTTTGTCAACACGGGCAAGTGGGGGGAACAGCCAAAGGGCTCTGCGGAATGACGGAAATCACCGAGGGGCTTATCTCAGAAGAGGATTCCTCGGTGAGAGGTGAGCAGAGAGAAACAAGACCTAACCTTGGCGCGGGGGCGCTCGCCTGGTGGGGACGAGAGGTCAGGGTGAGCCTGGAGCAGAGGACTAGCGCGGAAACGCCGCGACCCCGGGTGCCTCGCACCCGCGACTCCCCCACCTGCAGCTCGCCGCCCACCACCGCTCCGCAGCCCGGGCCCCGGCTATGCCCTTCCTCCCGGCCGCCCGCATATCCGTTACCCCGGCGGCGGGGCTGCGGGGGAGGGGAAGGACGGCGGGCCCGGAGGGGGCCGGCCGCGGTTGGGATGCCGCAGTGGC